TTTTTTTTAATTATATCTCGTTTTGCATGCAAACTTGAAAAGTTTCCTATGTGGAATCGTGCTTCACGTGGAAAGTTATAAACCCGTGAGCGATTTCACATGAGTTTACAACTTTTCACACATAACAAGAGCAGAGCAGAGTCTTTTGCTTCAAAATGTTAAGTTCAAATTTCGTACACTTTATTGTAACAAATATAATGTAAGAAATATCAAAAACGCATGTACAGCTACGTTCGGAATTATATATTAGGTGTTGGAATTAATTCGTAGCGTTTTACAAGTGATGGGAAGTACTTTCATTAATGTATTTTTTAATGCTCATGTGAAATAAATAACATTCTTTCATTAAAAACGCTACGAATTAATTCCAACATCTAATATTTAATACACATCGAATGCCTCTAAGTATTGGGTCATTTATGACCATCAACACCATCTAGTGACAAAAAACCGCAGATACTTTTTAGATGACCCATATTATTATTATTATTATTATTATTATTATTACAGGAGAGTCAAATGTAATTATGCTGAATAAAGAAAGTTTGCTGCAGGTGGGAATTTCCAGATAATTCTAATTTGGAAATGAGTGAAACATTTTACTCTTCAAATTCCGAAAACGTCGAGTTGGATGCAAAAATAACGTCGACGGGTGATCAGATGAAAGTACCAGATTGTTATTAGATAAATATGCTGAGTACTTGGAGTTAGTTGATCCTATGAACCAATTCAAAAATAAAAAGTTAATGTGGCTAGAAATCTCAAAAGATTTAGAAAAAAGTTTAAGCATAAAAACGTATATCCAATGAGAAAATCGTTATAAAACTGTTCTTAGAAGAAAACGTATTTGAGAAAAAAAAATAATTCAGTGTCCGGTACAAAGCAAGTTAAAGTAAAGTTTGAAAATGAAATTAATAAAATTGCTAAAGACAATAGTGTAGAACAGAGATATTATAAAATTTAAGTAATATTATACTTAACGTTAAAAATTTCAAGAGCATCTAATTCAAAAAAAGAGAAAAAACTAAACGTGGCATACTTAAAACTTTAGTTGAGATTCAAAGAACAAGAAATTAAGAAGCAAGAACGACATGAAGAAAAAATTAGATTGTTGAAAAGTTTTTTTTGAAAAAGAGAATAAGGATTTCTAAAACATATATCGTGATATTAAAAAATATTTTTTTCCACATTGCTTTTCTGTGTTATTTCTAAACATATAGCAGTACAATAATATATAAAAAGAATATGTTTATATTAAAAAAAAAAATGTGATAAGATCAAGTCATTTTTTTAGTTAATATGAAATACAAATATTGTAATTTTCCTTTAATCTCGATATAAAGTTAAATTTGTTTTATATTAAAAAAAAAGTATAAAAGAGAATTACAATACAATGCATACATATATTTAATGTATGTGTGTCGTACGCGAGTGACATTGTAAAAAACGCGCCGTATTATTACTTATACATATATCTCAATATTTTTTATCAAATATTCTCTGATATATATTTTAATATTTGCATGGTATAATGTGTACTGTAATAACGTTACTTTTCTTTGTTTTCTAAGAACATACTGTACAAAAGAAATGTATGTATTATAGCTATATTCAACTATAGATATTAAACAGTTGTAATATTTATATTATTTTGATATTTATATGTGCAATATTATTACGTAATATTTTAATATTGAATTCGGTCACTTGCGCTACGCTAGATCAGTGCATATTAAAAGCTTCTTTATAAGCAAAATTAGCAAAATTAAATGCAAATATATAAATATATTTTAAATAATTAACTATTTACTAATGACATGTCACGTTATTTAACAAAATATATATGTATCATTTTATTATCAAAGTTGATATTATATTGTATCATTGCATTAAGATATTTCATATAAAGCAGCTTTTAATACGCACTGATACAGTATAGTGCGAGTGTGATCGAATTCATCAAGTTTCAAGTATTATTATACAATACTTTATTGATATTTGCATAGTTACGAAATATAATGTTACATAAATAATATAACTTTGTTCTTTTTCTTGTTATTATTATTTATTTACCTTTCAAAACAAATATATACAAAATTACACAATGTTAAATATTTCTACAGTTAATGAAATCATAATACAATCATATTATCGTGTTTTTGTAATGCAATATTTATGTTATAAAGCTGTATTCACAAATACATGTAAACTTAAAAGCTTTTTATGTTGTAAATTAACCTAATGTTTCATAAAAAGTTCCTTTTTTGTTCACCTGCAGTTCATTATCTTTATAATTTACTTCTAAATTAATTTCATTGTTTTGAAATTGTTCATCTATTTCCTCTAACAAATCATCTAATTCATCTTCATGAAGAATACACAAATTGTGTAATGCACGTGCATTTATAATAAATTTACAGCAATGTTGAATGGTATGAAACTCTAACTTCATTAATTGTTTGAATCGTACTTTTAACAAACCAAAGGCATTTTCGATTTTTACACGACAAACAGAAAATTTATAATTGAAATTTCGTTGCGTCTGTGTAAAATTTTCATAGTCTCGATAAGGAATAACAAGATATTTTTTGTAAGGCAGCGTCGCCCAATATATATCATTCATTTCCACATGTATTTGGCAACATATTACTTATGAAAGATAATTTGAAAACACGTGCATCATGAATTTATTAGGCGGCCCTGTGAAAATATCAAGAAACCTTCTCTTCGCATTACATATTGCTTACAGTGCTAAAGAAGTCGATTTTATAATTCGTCTCGATTTCTATATTATATTACTTATTTGTACTTACTTTGTACTTACTTTCAATGAAATATTAACGTCGACAATAAAATTATTGCGGACAATTTCGACTATGAATATGAATAATTGCTAAAAAGTAATTATATACATTGAAGAGAATCCAAACTAAAAAAAGAGCGAAACGTATGTAATATTATAATCTAATTTTTGTTAGTAAATTAAATACAATATCCAATGTCGGTTCTTATTGGCATTATCACCTATTGACTAAAAAGTTTTCTTGTTTAAAATACATTTAATATATAATTCATAGGAATGTTTGTCTTTTATTTACATTTTCAAATTTTTCTGAAATCTTTGCCTTTTCTTCAATTGTTTTCTGAAATTTTATAATAGATCCTGCCAAGTTATTATACATAAAAATCCATAATATTGTCACAAACAAGGTGAAATGTGGATTCTGCCATATTAAATCTGCTTGCTACATCTCTAATAACACTTTTATTACCTGCAAACCTTTAATGAAAATATTTAAGTAAATGTATATACGTACTACTTAATTAATATTTTTTTATATCATAGAAATAAATATGCATATATAAACATATTTGTGTGTGTGTGTGTGTGTGTGTGTGTGTGTGTGTGTATAATGCGTATGTATATGCGTGTGTATATTTTTAACATATAATTTATTACCACAAAAATGTTAGTAATTTTGTATCATTAATAGTATTTTGGCAAAAATCCGATTCTTCAAATAAATTTTTTAATTGTAAATATGTATTTCGTCGCAAACGAAAATTTTTCTGAAACTAAATATTATAATGTATACAATTATAGTATAAATATTAAATCTTATATTCGAATATTATAAAGGAAACTGAACGAATGCAAAATTTCTTGCACTGCCAATTTCGACAGTGCAGTTTGCTGAGACTACTGGAAAATCGCGGTTAGATTGAAATAATGGCGTTTAAACGATTTTTGTTTCTAAATGAAATATTAGAAAGCAACAGTAGTGACGATGAGGTAGCAAATTTTATTGTTAGTTGCATAAAAGAAAAAAACCAAAAATAAAGAATTTCATGTTATAAATGAGTTTTCAAATGATAAAGAAGAAAGTAAATTTATATAACAATAAGAATTTTTATGATATATATATGTATATATACATAATTATGAAAATTATCCAATCGTTCTTATAAAATTGTACGTAAAATGTGATTGGATAATTTTCTTTATAATTGTACATTATACGATTATGTGGCTATGCAAATTTTTGTGTGGATATACCTTGTCACATATAGAATATGGTATGTAGCGTAATAGTGTAACATTACCGAATACGATGAGTGCAATGCACCAAACAGGAATCATCGATTGAACACGCTACACTGGGAAAATGCACTCAGTGTACTTAGTGCAGGCGACCGAATTCGCTACATGACATATATGTAAATACATACACACACATACACATTTGCAGAAGTGCACTATAAATGGCGGAACCAATCAGAGAAGAGGAACACTCGTCGTCCCACTCTCTCTTGATTCTCTGAAGGTTTGTTCGCGTCGCATGTTCCAGCATGCTCCAATGTGCTCTTGTTATAGCTTTTACTCATTTCAATGAGTTAAGAGTGAGTAAATGCTATGGTAGGAGCATTTTAGAGCATGTTAGAACATGCAACGCGAACAAACCTTCTGATTATTGGATGTACTTGGTGTGTATTCCCGAACGCAGTTCACATGTGGCCATAGAGCATGAAAATGTGACCGAGTGCAGTATTTCACGGCTGACGGGATTTTCTAATCTCAATAATTGCCAACTTTAACGCTTAATGTTTCGATTCGTGAAGCAGAGCGATGCAGATTCGTTCGTTTCGAACAAAAACGCGTTAAGTGAAACTAATTTTATCGGCTGCGTTCAGCAGAACACAACAGTTTTATGATTCTCTGCTGAGATAGGACCATTCCTCTTGATCTAAAAGCATAACCCAATCAGCGTAAAGAAAACTTCCAACAGTTGCAAAATAAACGTTCTGCTGAACGCAGCGATTTCTGAGGTGACGTTGCTAAACTGAACAATTACCTTTAATGATTAATATTCTCGCTTCGCGGAACTGAGCATATTTTACAACTAGATTTTTCCGTTTCATGCAAAAACGCATCGAATGAGTATAATTCCATAGCGTCTTCTGAATAATTACCAAAAATATTATTATCATAGCATACTTACGTGCCAGATAACATTTGTGCCATTGTAGTATACATGGCACAAGATCCTACAACTTCTTTATAATCTTCTAAGGCCATCTTTCTTGTCTTGAGTTACTTTGACTTATTTTATTCAAGGTTCACACTAACTCGTTCAATTAACCCGTGAATTGTTACCAATATCAAATACTTCGAACATCAAAGTCATAGGAGCACAGAGAGGGGCCATGCCTGTCTATTTCATGACACGCTCGAAACTCCGGTACACTAGCGACACTAATCATATATGGCAAACTTCCATATAAAGTTTTAGGCTGCGTTAATTCATTTTGGAATATTCACCCAGGTGGCGCTTATATTACTTTAATTATATTTAAATCGTGATAGGCTCTGTGCACAATAGCAGGAATAAGGAATTAGAAATAATGAGTAATTATTTCAACCTATCAAAAACCGTATCCGATTTTCCATATCCGATTTCTGATAGATTAAAATCGTTATTCTTTATTTCTAATTCCTTTCTATTAATTCTATTGTGCGTAGGGCCATACCCTTTATAAAAAATAATAGAAAATTGATAGAAACATTAGAAATTGATAGAAGAATGACAGAAAGTGCATAAAAAGAAAAAGAAATGAAAAAGAATTTTAAATGGTGTGGATAAATAAAATTTTTATGGATTGATTTAAAAAGAATATTAAATCGTATGAATTTTACACCGATTGGACGTACTAGTGAAGTTATAATCAGAAATTTGTCTTTGCGCCTACCTAGGAATTATCTTTATTTTAGGAAGGTAACATTCATTTTTTTTTTATACAAATTTTAAAGCCTTGTCTTCGCGATAATAAAAATCAATTCAAGATTTCGGTTACTGAAAGAATTATCAAGTCAAATTTTAACAATTTGGTCACATAACCCAATTCTTTCTTCATCCAAAACCTTGAATCATAAATCTTATATTGGGTCATCTAAAAAGTATCCGCGGTACTTTGTCATTAAATATATGACCATCAACACACATCTAGTGACAAAAAACCGCGGATACTTTTTAGATGATCCAATAAATATGGACTGTATCAAATTATATAAAATTATGTATAAAATTAAGGGCAATTGTTAAACGATAATCATTCCCGTGCGTTTCGATTAACCTTTGATTTTAACCTCCAGACGCAAAAGTTGTATACTTAATCAGCTTACATATATTGGGTCATCTAAAAAGTATCCGCGGTTTTTTGTCACTAGATGTGTGTTGATGGTCATATATCTAGTGACAAAGTACCGCGGATACTTTTTAGATGACCCAATATAATAAAAGATCGGAAGCTGTGAAATTTATTTATTGCAGTCTCTCCAGGAAAGCCAAGCTAAATTCTCTGTCGAGAATACATTTTCCCATGCCAGTTACAAGACTGAATGGAACTCATGATGTCAGTGCCTTTAATAATAAAATAAAATAAGTATTTTTATATGGGAAAATAGATGTACAAAAACCTTACCCGTAACGGAAACTGCAATCATATAAAATAAACTGCTAATCTAAAGTTTTGATAGCAAGGAACGTCCACAATTAAAGATTTTTAGTCAAATTATAAAATATAATAATAAATAAAATGATAAATAAAATGTATAATACGAGATAATGTGTCTGATGTAAAATTTCTTGCAAGGACTGTGATGCGACCTAAGTTGGACAAACGAGGAGACAATTGAAAACAAGAATCACATTAATAGAAACACAACATTTTGTAATTACAGATTATAGGTTGCATCATAGTCACGATTTATATCGGAAAGACGTTAAAATATTAGATAATGAGCGAAATTAAAAGATTGATATCAGAGATGATCAATATAAAACAACAGAATAATAGCATTAATTTGAAAATAGACACAAAACTGCTAAATCAAGTATATTTTAATTATTTTAACTCTTAGATTTATTATTGATTATGTTTTTATTATTGACATTAAATTTGGTTTTCAAATTCGGCAAGCTTTCACGATTTCCGTTCATTTTACAGTTTGACGATGTATGACACATTATCCCGTACTGTACATTTTATTTATCATTTTATTTATTATTTTATAATTTGACTAAAAATCTTTAATTGTGGACGTTCCTTGCTATCAAGATTTTAGATTAGCAGTTTATTTTACGTGATTGCAGTTTTCGTGACAGGTGAATTCTTTGTACATCCATAAAAATACTTATTTTATTTTGTTATTAAAGGTACCGACATCATGAGTGCCATCCAGCTACTAACTAGCATAGGAAAAAATATATTCTCGAGAATGTAGCTTGGCTTTCCTGGAAATTGCAATAAATAAATTTCACATCTTCCGATTTTTTATTATATACGTAAGCAGATTAAGTATACAACTTTTGCGTCTATTATCGCTGAAAAAGGTTAAAAGACTAACCGAAACGCACGAAAATGATTATCGTTTAACGATTATTAATTGTTCTGTCGACTTTTCAATAAATTTAACTTTTATATTGAGAGATTTCTTTGAACAATTAGCGACACTCTGGACAGCACCTATTCCCTCGAGCTCTTCTAAAATTTTTTTTTCATGAAATAATATTAGGTGTTGGAATTAATTCGTAGCGTTTTTAATGAAAGAATGTTATTTATTTCACATGAGCATTAAAAAATACATTAATGAAAGTACTTCCCATCACTTGTAAAACGCTACGAATTAATTCCAACACCTAATACTTTGAATATTTGTCTAATATAATATAAGAATATAAGTAATTTAAAAGAAATTTGGAGATAACAGGGTAATAGAAGTCGGATAATCGTTGCGTAGATAATATATACAGATATAACACAAAACTTTTTATTACAATAACTCGCTTACATGTTTCAGCTCATTTTTTAGCCCTCTTCAGAGACATATTGGGTCATCTAAAAAGTATCCGCGGTTTTTTCACTAGATGTGTGTTGATGTCATATATCTAGTGACAAAGTATCGCGGATACTTTTTAGATGACCCAATATATTTAAAACATACATGTTGGATGTTTTAAAAACATCCAGATTAGATCCATGAATATTTTAAAAATATTTTAAAAATATCCAATGTTATCATTTTGGACTTCTTAAAAACGTCCATTTTAGGTCGCAATGGACTAAATTAATATATTAAACAAATTTTAGACCACAATCAAGAAATAATTCTCATATATTTTTTGTCGTTGAAAATTTTCAACACAGCACAGATGTCCATGGGACGTTCAAAATATGTTCGCACATATTAAAAACGTCCTTGAGACGTCTTTTGGATAAAATGTACTGTGTGGAAACGATCCCGTAAATGAAATTGCTCTATCACGTCACATTTTTTAACTATTTTAGTTCGAAAGTGCCATTTTTAGTAGTAACTTTAAGTTCAATTTTCTCAAATATGTGACGTGATATTATTTGCGGATTCGTTTTTAATGACAAAAATCTATAAGAATCGTATCTCATCTAATTTGTGATCTAAAAAGAAGTTTAAATTTATAACATATTATATGTTATCTAGAGCAAATTCTGCATACGAAGTGAATCCGAAAGTTTACAGTTTAAACAGAGTGAGATAATTATTTTAAGGGGGTTTTCTATATTTTATTCTCTCCTTTACGAGTTATCGATTACAAAAGATTCCAATTTTACTTCCTAGATAGAAAGTTTAATATATCACTGAACTAACCTACTCGCCAAGCATTTAAATGTGATTGGGATTCTTATCTTTGAAATCAATCATATTCAATTATTTGATGAATATGATTGTTGTTTTATTTATGTTTATATAAGATAAGTACATTTAAACAACTTATTCATTTTTGAACACGAACATTTTTAGAGTATGCCCAGACTCTGGTTTTCTAGGGATTCTACTCTCCACTAGCCTCTACAGGCTGGAAGCAAAAAATTCCAAACTCTTATCACTGCGAGCAGCAAGCTATTGCTGCTCGATGCTTGCCGCTTGCTGCATTCTGTCTGAATTAGCTTTAATTTGGTAAATTTTCGTCACCGGAGGTAATAAAATTCCTGCGATTTTAAAAAAATTTTCACTTGTTAAGTTAGCGAAAGCAACACGTCACGAGCAGATTTAGAAAATTTTTTGCATGAGATAAACATTTTTAAGATGTCCAAATGTAAACATACTTTGTACATTGAATGACATATATTTTTAAAACATTCGTACTAAGTCCATGGACATTTGGACCAGATTGAAATCAAGTCTGGATGTCCAGTGAATATCCTGTGCTGCTGAGTAATAAATATCTTGTCATAGTGAGTTTCTTTCACTACACAAAAAATCCTATATCAGAATTAAACTCTTAGAGAATTAAACTTTTAGAATATATTAGAGATGAAATTTGAAGACTTTAATAAATTTAATTCACAATGAAAATAAGGAAGCTCATCACGAACATAAAATACCATATCGCAAACAATAAACAACAATTATCTGAAAAACTAGTTTTTGACTTGTTGGCCAGTCAGTGTTGTCCTTGCATAGTCACGAAGTGACCTATCTTGTCTTCCTATCTTGTCTATCGGTCATTTTCTGATTTCCTTTTAAATTAAATAACGAGTTATCTTTAGACTTTAAAATTAAAAAGTAGTACATTTAATCTGATACTAATTGGCTAACGAGTCAAAAACTTTTTGACCAGATAATTGTTTGCGATGAAATTTAGAATAATTCACCTCACCTAAAATCTTAATAAAAATATACTCATTCGACGCATTTTCACTCAAAACGAAAGAATCTGGCAGAAAAACGCGGCGGTTAGCTTCGATTATTAAAGTTGAAGACTTTAGAGGTTAAGATATCTGTTATGCTTAATAACTCGATTCACGAAGTCGATTGTCACTTTTTTTTTGCCAAATTTCGTTTTAAGTGAAAATGCGTCAATATTTTTATTAAGATTTTAGGTGGGGTATAAATAATTACGAGAATATACTATGTGAAATTTCTTTTTTAATTAAATTTACACATTCTGTCATCTATATGTAATATTTACAATTAAACATGTTGAACTTTAAATTTCAGAATTAATAACACACAATAATATTATATATATGGCAGAAATCTATTGTCTCCTCGTTACATATTACAAAGTTAAGTTCGATATTTGATATTAAAAAACGAGCGTTTCAGTGCGCATGAAAAGGCAACCTTAATTAATCAGTGTACGCATGTAGAGGTCATCTATTGAATAATTTGATCGATGAACATATGTATGTATGTACGTATGTCTCAAGGTACGTATATAATACTGTGTTCAGATTCCTCACTGGGTGGATGATCGCTGGGTGACTTGGTGAGTGAGCGGAGCCTAGCGAAAAATACTGGAGTGATTTGGGAATCTGAACACACTTTAAGATAAGATCCTACATGCATTGGTTACAGCAAATAGTAACATAAATATATCAGATTTAAGGCTCCTGACTAGTCGCGGCGGCTATGTTGGAATCGTGACTTCAGAAGCGAGAAATGACACGTTAACTTATGTTGCCATTTTTAAATAAAGATAATTTGGATGAAACGAAATGACGAGATCACTTTAAAACACTTGTAAAAATCGATGAAAACTGTCCTTTTCTCCCTTAACAGTCAGTAAATGGTAAAAAGCACGTAAAGTGAGCCTATATTCGGTCCGACAGTTAAAACGAGTAAAATATATGTTTTTACATATAAAATTCCAAGATAACTTTAATTTTCATCGATAATTACGACTTCGATAAGTATGAGATAAGTCACATTTTTACAATTAAGCAAATAATAACGAAATGACACGCAATATAAATTTCGTCGTCAAAACGTTACTTTTTCACGTCTATAAGTTCGGCTATTTATCGTGGATCGGAGCTGTAACACACAACAAGCACAACCTCATGATTCAATCATTTACGACGTTGTGGCAAAATATACGGCTTTAGAACAATCCAACGAAGATTCCAGTATGCCAGCGAGAAAGAGTCACTCGAAAGAACGCATCGCGAGGACTCCCGCAGTCATTGAAAGAGCTCAAGTGCTGATTTCAGATGACCCAATTGTTGCGCATTCTAATACAGGGTCCATTATAAAAGTAATGCGCATTTTCTGGGAAAAATAGATTTATTGATCGTAGCGGTACAAATGCTCAAAATTCTTCAAAATACTCTCCCCCTGAATCAATACACTTGCGGAGACGTGTCTGCCACGCCTGGAAGGCACGCTGAAACTCCTCGACGGGAATGTCTCTTAGGAACGTTGTACCATGCTTTTGGATGTTTTCCACGGACGCCCAATGCTTTCCTTTCAGCTCTCTCTTCAGACGGGGAAACAAAAAAAAGTCGCACAGAGCCAAGTCGGGACTGTAAGCGAGCTGGGAGACCATCGGGGTGTTGCTCCGGGCCAGGTAGTTGGCAACGATGAAGGCCGTGTGGCTGGGGGCATTGTCATGGTGGAGCTTGATCGCGTCTTTGATATCAGCCCTCACGCGCACGACTCGGCGTTTCAGTCTCTTGAGCACCTCCAGAAGGCTGAGTTTCTTCCTGCGATACAAACTCAAAATCGACGATTCCTCGGACGTCAAAAAAGACGCATCGTTTGTGATGAGCATCGTTTTGATGCGAGACTTGCTCATTCGCTCCTCCCGGCCTTCCTTGAACGCCTTGTGCCACCTCCCGGACTGTGACCTTGAAATGCAATCGTCCTTGAAGGCCTCTTGAAGCATCTGAAATGTTTCGGTTGCATTCTTTCCAAGTTGCACGCAAAACTTGATGGCATATCGCTGTTCAAGCGAACGCTCCATCGCGCCGTGTTACAAAGTCGAAAAACACACTTCACGCGGAGGCACGTCTTTCCACTCAGACTGCTCGGGGCAAACTGGCGACCGGCTGCCTTGGAAAGGCAGACCCCCCACCACATTTCCCGACCCATTTTACCCCGCTGCGATGGATATTCGCGTCACAATAAAATCATGTGCATTACTTTCATAATGGACCCTGTAGATGTAGTGAAGCTGTGGATGGAAACTGTGGCGTCCGGAAGCAGCAGGACGGTGCATGGGCTCATATGAGTTATTTGATTCAAAATTGGTTCTCAGACAACATCAATGTTTTGATCCAACGAATTCTAGCCTCCCAACAGCCCAGATTTAAATCCCTTGGACTACTACGTATGGAGCGTAGTTGATGAAAGGGTCACAAACAAGTCTCAGCATCCCAATGTGACGTCATTAAGGACCGCTATCGTCGACATGGACATTATACTGTGCTATCGCTACAGATCAAGAATAGAGACCATCATTCAAGCTAATGGGGGATATATTGAATAATTATGCTCTACAGGAATCTCCTAAGTGCCAATTAACAGCAATGACAACGTAAAAGGAATTTTTGTAATATTTAATTTTTCATTAAAAACATTTTGTTTAAAGAAATTGTTCGATTTGTCCGGATTTTGATACGCATCCTGTAGTATATCTTTTCTTCATAAACTCGAGTAGCAAAAACAGTAGAAGTAGAATTTACCAGAAAAAGATTATAACTCAGCATTTTTTTTCATAAAAGTCTCAAAAGGCCATCAGAAAAGAAATGCATATATTTGAGACTTGTGAAGAAAATATGCAAAAAAATCGAATAATTGCAAAAAGCACGTTTTTCGCTTATAAAACGAAAAATATTGATTGTATGAAAAAAAATTCATATAAAAAATGTAGGTATTCGACATAACTACAAAATGAGACGTGGAACATTAAAATCGATCTATTAATTCAGTAGAGAAAAAATAAAAAACATCGAAAATGGCCTTTTTTTACTCATTCATTTTTCTCTGTTTATTGAGATTTAAACGCAAAGATTTAAAATTCTCGTAAAATGTAGCTCTCGTATGATGAACAAATCTAGCCCCGAACAAGCCTGAAATGTTCATTAGTTTTGCAAAAAGCCATTTGTTCATTCAAAATCTATCTGCGGAAAATTTAATTTCTTCATCTTTGAGCAGTCGCACAGCAATTTACAGGAGTGATTTTTCTTCTTCGAAAATTGCACTATCACGTGTACTTAATAACAAAACATTTTTTTGCAGTTAAACTTTAACTATTATAAAACGACTTTAAAAAGTGGATATCTTTCTTCGCATAAAAAAATAGAAATAATTCCGTTAATACGCATCATATCAATAGCCATGTGAAGCATTCTACATCTGACATTTTTCTATTGTGATTTTTCTATTGAATTTAAAAAAAAAAGAGTTCCGTCTGGCACCAATTTGTTAAGGAAGAATCGAATTTGCTGTTGAAAAATTCTCGAATTTTTTGCCGAAAAAGTTTGTTTAAAACCATTGGAAAATTGAAGAACGCGAGCGAGTGCGTCGGGCGCAGTGAGGTGCGATTACATGGAGCGCGGTACAGCAGTTAATAGTAACTATCTAGACTAGTAACCAATTAGGAAACCACATAAATGGAAACCACGTACCACTGCTTATTTCTTTCGATGATATTACATGGAGCGCGGTTTGCGCGCGGTTTGCAGCACGGACTTGTAACAAACTCACATTACCATATATTGGTATACATTTTTTAATGGAATTAATTGATTCAAACGCAATTATTAAGTAAATCTGTTAAAAAAATAAGATTATCGATAAAGTAAAAATAAGTTCATATATTAAAAAAATTCATACTAATATGTGTTTGTCACTGCTTGAGTGTTAAAAAGACCTTTTTCGGTGTTTTTTATTTTTTTTCTACTGAACTATGAATAGATCGATTTTATATTCCACGTCTTATTTTGTAGGTATTTCGAATATCATTTTTTATACCGAATTTTTTTCCATACAACCAATATTTTTCGTTTTATAAACGAAAAACGTGCTTTTTGCAACTATTCGATTTTTTTTCGCATATATTCTTCGCAAGTCTTGAGTTTCAAACATACGCATTTCTTTCCTGATGGTTTTTCGATATTTTTGTAAAAAGAAATAATTTATAATTTTTTTCCGGTAAAATTCTACTGAAATAATAATAAATTTTGGGGGGATTATTACATTTCAGATTAATTGCGTTAATGTCGACAACCATATCGACACGTAATTATTATTTCTGAAATTAATTCATTCGTTTGAATAATATATATATTAGTTCAACATCTTAATACTTAGACCGTAGTGGCGCTTCGGATTGTAATGTTATCTACTGAAATATTCTTGCTACTCGAGTTTATAAAGGAAGGGTATACTATAATATTAGATTGGTGCATATGAAATGTCGGATTTTCTTTACATATGAACGTTTGTCTCCCTGTTTTCGTTATGCTTTTGTTTTTGGCATAACCTCGTTTATAGTCGTATTGTCCATTGCCAGAGTTACATTTCAACAAAGAAGATTTTCTCAAAGTGTTCCATTTTGTTATTCGTTTTGAATTTCGTAAGGATATGAATTCAACCGATATTCATGTAATTTTTTTATATGAGTATAAACTTGGTAATAATGCTGCAAAAGCTGCACGCAATATAAACCAGGCATTTGGGGAGAATACTGTTAACGATCAAAAAGTGCAGCGTTGGTTTGAAAAATTTCGGTCTGGTGATTTTTCTCTACAAAATGAACCGCGTGGAAGACCCAAAATGTCTGTGAAAAATGATGCTCTGAAAGCATTGGTGGAAACGAATCCAACTGTATCTACAAGGGAACTTGCTACCAGAATGAAAGTTGACCATACAACGATATTGCGACATCTTTCTGAAATTGGCAAGGTGAAAAAAATGGATAAATGGGTACCGCACGAACTAACCGAGCGAAATAAGCTGGATCGATTGAACGTATGCTCATCATTACTACCCGATTTCATCGAGAGCCATTTTTCGATCGGATTATTACTTGTGATGAAAAATGGGTTCTTTACGACAATAGGAAAAGGTATGCTCGGTGGCTTGATAGCAATGAGGCTTGTGCTCATACTCCAAGGCCATTTCATCCACGGAAAATTTTAATAACAGTTTGGTGGAATTTGACTGGAGTAATTCATTACTCATTCTTTCGAACTGGGGAGACAATTACAGCCGAAAAGTACTGCCAGTACATTGATGAAATGCATGAAAAATTGAAAATTATACGCCCATCACTTGTTAATCGGCATGGTCCAATATTTTTCCACGACAACGCTCGGCCGCATACGTCATACAAAACAAATGCGAAATTAAATGAATTAAAATGATTATGAATTATGAAATTTTGCAGCACCTAGCTTATTCGCCGGATCTTTCGCCAACTGACTTTCATTTTTTTAAACATTTAGAACAGTTTTTACGAGCTAAACAGTATGAAAATGAAGACAGAAAATGAAGACTGAAAAATTCCATATCAGAGTTTATTAATTCTAAAGATCAGAATTTCTTTAAGACAGGCATCTATGCATTAAAATCTCGTTGAGAAAAATGTATTGAAACAAATGGAGCTTATTTTGATTAAATAAACAGCTTTTGAAAAAAGATATGCAGTTTTATATATTCACTTAAAAATCCGACATTTCATACGCACTAACCTAATATAACGCGCATGAAAAATCGTGAACAATTAAATATCTCGTAAACTGTTGCGTTTTAATGATTTATACTATTCTGGATTAATGGGAGACCTACATTATTACTACAATTTAAAACTTAAAATAACTTATTGATGTCTAAGGCCGTGCCGAGCGGCCGAGATTGCAAACGAGAAAACATTTCGGTAGCTTAAAACATGTAACTAGTGTGAGAAGAAGCTCGCTGTCTCGTTCACTCTCGGCGCGCTGCAGACGAGCACACGGACATGGGCTTGTGCTTAAGTGTGTGGCTATCGGTTTCGCCAGACCACCGTCTGATTCGATGTCGCCACCGTCAACTCAAAGTTCTTGGCTGAGTATTCAGGAGCCTTAATACAAATTAATACATATATAATTAATGTAATTATGTATAAAATATATATAATAATGGTAAAAGATATAAGATAAATATCTTATCAATATCTTAAGTCTGTAAAACTTAATAGATGATTAAATAATATTCTTGAGACTTTCACGGGTGTTTTCTATATAAAGATTATGCGTTTCGCGGGTTTCCTCCGTGTTCAGATCCATTCTTGGAATGCCAACGTTTCGTGAAGTCCACTTCAGTCCACTTCATCAGGACGAGGAGCAGCCTGATACTGAGCTGTTCCTCCGGATCGTTCTTTTTTATATTATGCTACTTGTTAGAGTGGTAAGGGGAAAAAAGAGAATTGGGGGGGGGGGGAGAAGGTGAGGGAATCGATCTTCAATAACTGGGAGTTTTAGTTTTTCATATTTTAATCAATATCAAATGTATATCAAATGTGTAGAAAACTAACATACACAGATAGATACCTACATGCCGAGTCGCACCACCACCCAACACAAAAACAATCTGCAATCAATTCACTTGTACATAGAGCTTTCACCATTTCTGACAAAGAACATCTACAGATAAAACATCTACATCTACAGACAAATCGCTCACTCAATCGCTTAAAATTAGCCTTATAGAAAAATGGACACGACAAAAAAGACATAATCAAAACAATCAATAAACATGTAAACAAAACAACGGTCTCTGATACACAATCAGACGAAAAGATCCTATCATTCTTCCATCAAAGGAACAACAGATCGGATTGGCAGGATATTAAACAAACACAATATTTGAACTATCTTCAAATCACCCAAAAAGATAAGACAA